CATATCTAAGAAAATATAATTATTAAATTTGTATTCAAAGAAATAGAATTTTTAAGAATTTGAGTGAATATATAAAACTCGTTACTTTATAGATGCATTATTGATTAATAGTAATCAATTTATAATATTTAATTTAGTATGATTAATCACTAATATATTAATAAAATTGTGACGATAAAATTGGATTAAATCATTGTGAGCGTACTTTGATTGCTCATGATACCATTTTTTTAATTTTTACTTAACTTTTAAAATCTATTTTTTAGTTCAAGATCTCTTTTACTGGCACTAACTAGAATTAAAGAATTAGTAGATAAATTCTGCTCAAAATGAGAATGGGCTAAAGTTATGAACATATGATCGATAATACGATGATCGGGTCGATTTTATAATTATAAATTTATTCTATATCAGACATGACCAAAATAAGATTATATATATTCTGATTATGAAAAATTGTCATTTAAACGTACGTAAATAAATATTATGTTTACATGTGGATACTTATGTTATTACATTCTATTTAAGATTATGAATAGGCGTAATTGAGCCTACTTTGATGACCATTAATATTTTTTTTTTCTTTTTCTCCATATGTAGGATATTATAATTATTAGATTGGTATACAACCTAATAGATTTTTTAATAGGTTTAATAAGTATGTAGAACTCATCATTTTATAAGCGTATTTATTATAAACTAAAAATAATCAATGTATAATACTTAATTTAATGATATTAAAAATTAAATTATTAATATATTAATGACACTACAACAACTAAATTAATTTAAAATTTTGATATAACTTTTTTTAAAAAAAATCATATTTTTGATTTAGGAAACAAAAGAATTTTGATTAGTTAATATTTTACATCAAGTGTCAATTTTATTATTTAAATCATTATTAAAAAGTCGAATTTAACTACTTTAGATAATTTGATCCACTAGTAAAAATCTGATAGTAAATTTTTAGGGAGATAGCTTCGATTACTTGTACCTCAGTACCATTATTTTCATTTATATATGCCTAAATTTAAGGTGGATATATATATATATATCTCTCTCTAAATTACCTTAGCAATAAGGATAGTAATTTGCTTTCGCTTAATTTAATTTACTCAAATCTGATTTGATATAACGTCTTTTACATTAAAATATGAGTTGGATTCAGGTAAGGTCAAGTTGTAGGAAAAAAGAGAGAGATTAAGGCTTCTTGAGGTTAAATCTTTCGAAATCTATATGTATATTTTATTTTATTTTTTATAGATTTATTTATATTTATATTGACAAATATAATTAACATTTATTATTATATATACTAATAAATATATTTTTAATTTTTTAAATATAAATTTATAATAATATAACAAAACAAATTCAACACAGTTCAAATTAAGGGGGGGAAAAAAAAAATTTAAATCCGCCACTTTGCCACCTCTATTACAGGCCAATTTTAGTGCACTAAAATATATTTTTAGACCATTCACACTGGAAGTAAATGATTCACAAGAAAATTTTTCTTCCAGCCTTACCTCAAAAGAATTGGATCATGAATCTGATTCGAAAGCTTCCATCTGCTTATGAACAGAATAAATCTTCAAGGTTATAGATTTTTGTGTCAATAATAAACAATAAACATAACATTATATGTATCCAAATGATTAAACTTGAGCAATTGAAGGATTTCATTACCTACGGTTGGTTAGGAAGAAGTAGACGACGTTTAAAGTCGGCCCATGTCAGGCCTTTTTCAAGATACTCAATATTTGAAGGATCGAAGGGTCCTTTAATTCTGTCTACAGACCTTATCAATGCCCCAGCTGGAATTACACTTGTTGATAGGTCCGGTGATGTTCCGTAGCTCAAACATGAAGAAAAACCCTAAATTGTATATTACAAAATTATGTAAATAATTATTTTTTGAAACATTAATCACTGATAACGAAAATATACTAATCCAAACCTAATTACAATTGATTTTGACTGGTGAAAATTATTGGATTAAAAAGAACATTCCAATTTCCAGATGCAATTAGCAAGAGTTTTGGATAACAAAGATCACAATAAGTAGTTCCTATAATTTGATCCGGAACATAGCCCAAGGTTCTTTTAAAATTACAGTTCAATCGAGTAAATTGACAGAAATTACGACTTAAATTATCAGAAAACAGACGCTTAATGTTTTTTTCGAAATAAGAACTCACCTTAAGTATAAGCACTTCTACATCTTGCTCGTCCACAAGCGCATGAACAATAAGCGCTTCTCCTCTAGCAGACTGGGAATATAATTCCAGCATCGCGATCTCCTCATTATACTCGTCCTCTTCATATTCATCTTCGTACCTCACTCTCCTCCTCGCATCGCACCGGCTTCTGCTTGAAAAAGCCTCTTGTTTGCTCAGCTTCAGAACTTTCACGGCGGAGACAACGGCGATGTCAGGTACAATCCTCTGGCGAAGAGAGGTGTTCAGCCGTGAGAAAACAGGGAAGATGGCGGATGAGGATAGCGCAGCCCATTTCCCTCCTAACTGGTTCAACATGAGGCAATAGATTAAAATACAGAGCAACGGATGCAGCCCAAATAAATAAATATTTATTTTGAAGAAGCCGCCTGTTCTCTCTCAAGATAAGGTTGTTTTCAATTTTTAATCAAATAAATAAATAATTTAAAGAATTTATATATTTATGTATATCAAAGTAATATCCAAAAAGGTAAACGGCAATTTGCTTAAAAAAAATAAAGAATATATTAAGATAAAATTTTAGATATTATAATTTATTTATTTTTAAAATATAAAAACAAAATTTATTTTTTAATCGATTATAGATTATGTACTATATAATATTTAAATAAAAAATTAATTAATAGTTAAATTTTTAAAATATAAATAAAATTTAATTGTAAAATATGTATTATATAATTAAATTTTTAAATTATAAAACCATGTATACCACGCTACAAAAAATTTATTAAAGGAATAAAACTATAGACAATAGTTTTTTTTTTTGTACAAATTAAATGTAGAGTATACTTTGATTATTTTTCATAAAATATAATTTATATTTTATATTTCAATTTGTTAAATCCGGGTTGGCAATATGTGGAATTTATAAAATCTTAGCCCG